TTGGCTTAAGGGGGATAGGGGAACCCACACCCCCCCCCCCCCAAAAAAAGGGAAAAAGGGTGGTACTGGGCATCCTAGAGGGCTTGGGGGTTCTCAAGGGCTTAAGGATGCTTAAATCTACAGGGTGGGGTCCCCTAGTTATAAGTAGAGTTATAAGGGCCCTAAATTGGGTTGTAAGGACCCTAAGTTAGGTTATAAGTCCCTTAACTACAGTTAGCGTAGTAAGGGGGCCCCACCCTGTATCCAGCCACGGCATGACTTGACTTTGACATACTCGCGTGGCGAACATGCGCTCAAGACAGGCCCCCAAGTTCCTGGATTGTTACATTATTTTTATTGCTGTACTTCTACACAATCATGTTACTATCTTATGACATTGTTGTATTCAAATAATGAAGGCACATGCCTGCAACAAGTGGTACAAAGGGCTCCCTTGGTACAAACACCGGTGAACTGCACTGGTCGTGTCATGTCCCTGATTCAGGAGTTGGGCTGACAACAAGGGCCGGCAAGCCCTGTTTAGGGTTTAGGGTTTAGGGTTTAGGAATTAGGGTTTAGAAATTTGGAGTTCCCAGAAGAAAAGCAGGCGACACCGTGGTGCAGGTCTTAGTATGTAGGGCAGACAGGCCGAATTCCAGGCATGCAAGGGGCCCTGGCTTCTGCGAAGGTGTCCACGACCACCTGCAATAGGGTTTAGGGTTTAGGGTTTAGGGTTTAGGGTTTAGGGGTCCACGACCACCTGCACTCTGTTTCGACCTCAACCCCACAAGGTTTTCAGGCCTTCTAAATACATAGGTTGGGATGTTCCCCCTTATACGAACAGTCCTGAATAGGAATATTAATTGGGGGGGGGGGGACCAAAATCCCGACTAGGACTGTTAGTATAAGGGATGGAACATCCCAATACATAGGGCGCAGACCCCGCAAAAGAGCAGGCAATCAAATATGTTCTCTACGTGAACATAAGGGCTTGCTTAGGGTTCGGGGCTAATTGTAGCAGGTGCCCAGCAACCTTAAACCCTCAACCCTAAGCTCTAAACCCGAGAGAACCGCATTTGGGGTACCTACAGGGTGGGGCCCCCTAGTAAGTAGAGTTATAAGGGCCCTAAATTGGGTTATAAGGACCCTAAGTTAGGTTATAAGTCCCTTAACTACAGTTAGCATAGTAAGGGGGCCCCACCCTGTACCGGTACCAGGCAAGGGGGCTCCGTTCGCCGGACTCCCGGACTCTGAGAACCGAATTCAACAACACCTGGGATTGCCGGGAGCTGCTTTGAAGGGTTTAGGCTTTAGGGTTTAGGGTTTGGGCTTGTTCTTCAAAGCTTAAGGGTTTAGCAGGGTTCGGAGCCCTGGGGGGGGGGGGGGGGGGTTAGGTTTAGGGTTTCCGACTGAGGGTTTAGGATTTAGGTGACTCAATGCAAGCTTTGGGCCAATGTTCGACCAAGCGGCTGCCACCACGAGGTTCAGCACCCCGAACACCTGAGCACGTGGAGGTTGTAGAGTGTACAGACTTAGTGTTTTCATAGGGTTATGGAGATTATCTACAGTAGCCTGTAAAATATGTCTAGAAAAGATAAATGTGCCTGAATCATCGTGTGGATGTACCATTCTTCCAACAAGGTGCTTTATAGGTAGATTCCCAGACCCACAAAACTCTAAGCCTCCCAAACCCCTAGAAACTACTTGAAGGTTCATGGGTAAATAGTTTAAAACCATCAGAAATATGAACAACAAATATTACAATCAAAATTAGTGAAAATACTAATTTTAAGGATGATTGAGGACTATTACTTCATTAACTCGTAATAATATAGAGTGTAAGATTTAACAAGTACAGCAATGGTCATAGACAATACAAATCAACTATATCAGCTCCCGTATATAGTTCGGATAAACTGACTCTGAAAAATGTAAAAGTCAAATCCGACATTTTTGGCAATCTAGCGAACAAAAACACCAGGATTTACATATCATCAAAATGATATAACAGATTTACACCAAGTTTGCTCATCTAGAGCATGTTCCTTAAATATAAGTGCACTATTTCGGAGGATGGGTTTTAATTGCTGAGGTCTTCGCGCCTGTGTGGATGCAGCTAATCGTCGATGCAAGTGTGGGAGAATGGACTGCTGAAGCTCTGAGCCGAATGACGGTCAGTCGTTTTGTGGGAGTGTGTATCGAACTCTGTCAGATTTCATGTAACGAATGCTAACTGAAACGGGCCTTCTGTTTTGCGTGAGATGCGTGTCATCGCATGTGTAGTCTTCGGAGGGCCAATTGCCCAGCCAATTGCGTGCACCGTTCTACATGACGTCATGGTGCTTTGCAAGAAAAATGCGCATCGGTACAGCACCCTGGGCAAAAAGCTTGTGCACTCCTTGTTTGGATGTGAGAAAATCACCCTTGTGGAGCTGCCGCAGGGTGTCAAGGTTGTCCATTATGTTCGACAGACCTTTGTAGTCTCTTTGCCAAATCACTGCTTCATCCCGTGACATGTTACCTGCGAAAGGGCTTAAACTCTTCTTTAAGCATGGGAAACAATTTAGGTGAGGCAGTTCTGCGCCTTGCGCGCGCTCAGTGAGGTTGTTGATGTTCACTCCGATCTCGCCGAAGATGTGATTGATGCGCAAATCCGTCATTTCGAGTTCAGTAGAGTATTGGAGTAGTTTGCGCTGTTTTTAAAGGGTTTACGATTTCTTTTTTACTGGTTGACTCGGATTTGGGTATTTTCTATACTGCGACACGCGGAGCTATGCTTAGTAGATCTGAACTGGCTTTTTTGCATGTTCTAGAATGTCATAGTTGGAGCTGTTGAGTGCAGCTGCGGCGTTCATGTCGAATGTGTGTGAGTGAACGTGCAATCTGACAAAGCAAGTGAGGCTGGCAATTCTCCGAACGTGTTAGTGTTGCTTTTCGACCGGCTTGCGTGGCGCCACTGCGGTCGCTCAGACGTGGTGCACTTCGCCCAGGATGGGCGGACCCTGTGCAGCAGTACAGAAGAGTCCTGGTGAAAAGGACCGCCCCGCAGCTAGTTCCAATCGTCGTCCTAGAGGCACACGTGGAAGTAATGCACATGTTCCAGGAGGGGTCCGGTCGGGATGCCTTCGGCGTGGGGAGAGGGCTCCAGGAATACAAGGGAACCTTCAAAGAAGAAAGGGAAAAATGTACCGCTGTGGTTCCACGAACCCCGAAACCCTACACTGTGTCTCAATCTCTCGCGGCCGGGCGGCGTTGTCGAAACTCGGACTGGGCGCCTGAAACAGAACTCCAAACCCTGTAACACTGATCTTGCGGCGAGGCTTCAGGGCTTCAGGGCTTGTTCCGGGGGGGTTATGGACTTTAGGGCTAGGTGAACCGTTTCCCAGTGGTCCACTGTGGCTTAGCGCGCGTCGGGTCGAAGCAGTGGCTAGGAAACTCACGCGACAATGAACAAACTCCAGGCTTCGGGTTCCCGAAGAAGACCCTAAACCAAGTTTTAAGAGGCCTACTTCATTCTAACGGGAAGTTTGGGCAGCATGAAAAAATAAAAGGATTGAATTCTTCAGGCCTCAATGACTGTTACTTGGGATAGACAGGGCATGTTTGGTGTGTTCTAGCGGGCTAACAGGACCACACAAAAGATGGGGGCATGCAGCGAGCATGCGATCGATGCTTAACGCTGTTTGCTACGGAGCGCCCCCACGCACCCCTACCTTCAGATCTTCGAGGCCTAGGTGGGGGGTGGGGAAGGGCTTGCATGCAAGACGCTGAGTCAAAACCTAGACCCCGCTTCCCCTACCCAGCTGCCACCTTGTACCATGAGGCTAATCGAAAATGACAAAAAGCTGAACCGTAAATCCGAAGATCCTTACTCCAAAGGCAATGGCAAGATGCTGGTCAGAAAACGTGTTCTGAGGCGGAATCGTTCTTGGCGGTCCAATTTCGCGTCTGAAGCGTTTAGTGCTTGTGGGGTTTAGTGTTTGTGCTCCTCACTCTGGAGCTTTCTTGCTGTGGTCTGGCGCATTTTTTCTCTGGAGGCCGGGCGCGTACTCAGTAGAGAGCTAAAGCTTTACGGAGACGAAGAAATGGAAACGAGATTGAGCTGCATGCAAATAAAAAAGCTGCACTTAAAAAGCTTTGACTACCCCAGAGTTGAGACACAGAGCTTCGTGCTTGCTCAGTTTGTGTGAGCGTGCAGACATTGTGTTCATGTTGTTTTTTTATTGTAGATGATCATTAGTCATGAACGTGTGAGAATGGATCACTGAGATGCTTGCCCAGTCTGCTTGACGAGGCTTGTTGCGGGGTCCTGCGCAGGGCTATACTCAGCAATGTCACACTTCAGCATTACACGGGTGGGGTTGCCCTTCCTGGAAGAGCGCTTCTCCTGCACGTTCAAAGCTACAGTAGCCGTTGCCTTCCTTCCAACCTGAGACGAGACAACATTGCAACTGTGCTGTGAAGATTGGCTGTCGTTTTGAGGCGCCCGCGACCGGGCAACACGTCGTCGATTCTGTGTCGGACTCCACTAGGTCCTGCCATCGTGCGCAGCTGTTCACTGTCGTTATATAGTATGTTGGTTATACCTGACCTCGAGCACGGTGTCGTCATCTCCCACCTGATGCTGACAGACGCGTATTCTCTCGTCACACAACCTCGTTCATGCTCGCCTCCGTGCTCGTCTCGGAACGCACGGTGAACACTGTTTCGGATGTGCTTCATGACACGACGTGTTGTAGTATGCCCGACGAAGCCGGCCTCTGGGTCGTAGGCCCGCCTTTCTGCTTCCGCGTGTCGTGCCTTGCATGTCTTGCATGAACTGCGACAAGTGTTCATGTCCGTGCTCGGCCCTGGCCTCTGCTTCTTCTCTGGTGAACCCCACGAAGTGGAAGTGTGCAAGTCGAGGCTCCTTAGCGCGTGGTTATCACCATGATCGTTTTTCGGATTTAGTTTGAACATGATGTTGTTTCGTTCTTGCCTCGTACATGACGATGTAGTTGTATTCCTTCACTCGAGTTGCGTCACCGCAGATTTTTGATTGAGAGACCGCCTGCCTCGGGGTCTAGCCAATCTTCTATGGCCCACAAGTAGTCTTCTCCCATCATGTAGGAGACCTGTTCGGCATGTGGTGGACATGAACTGATTATTTCGGCATCCCTCAAACCTGTCTGAAAAGCCAATCAAAGATTTTTGTACCAGTTGGTAAGGATATTAAGATTGTAACTCCTGTAAATTAAGCTCTTGTATCACTTTCTAAACCTACAGTATACATACGATGCCCCCAAACAAGACTTCCAAGAAGAGAAATAGATGACATGGCAAAGATCATTGATTGGTTATCAAAGATTATTAATTGTGAATCCCAGAAATTATTATGCAAATGATCCCAAATGCAGGAATTATTAAGATGCAAACTTCTGGATGTCCAAAAAACAAAATAAATGTTGATAGAATATAGGATCTCCTCCAAATATAGGATCAAAGAAAAGTGTATTAGAATGAAGATCACCCAATATTAAAAGAAGTGTACCAGATAAGATTGGTAATGCTAAGAAAAGCATGAAAGCTGTAATCAAGAAAGCCCAAGGAAATAATGGGATAGTCTTTAATGTCAGATAATAAGATCTCAGATTTAGAACTGTTGTCCAAAATTTAAGAGATGTAAGACATGAAGATATACCAGAGATTAATAATCAAATATAAGATTTCCTGTACTTGAAGGTGATAAAGTCAGAAAAGAAGTGGGCAATGGTGGAAAAGATGTTCATCCTGTACCACCTCCAAATTCTGAGATTATAGAAAGGATTAGGAAAAGATATGAAAGTAAAAGAATTAAGATCGAAAATTATTGACTCTAGGATATACCACTTCTGGAGACCTTTGAAAAACGCTTCTGTTACACCATTGATAGCAAACATAGTCTCGTACAGAAAAATCTAGCATAAATATCCGCATTTGCAAGAAACATGTTTTTAATGCTGCTACTCCTTTCCCTTCTTTCGTTTCCTTCACCTTTACCTTTTACCTTCTACCTTGACCTTTGCCTTCACCGTTGCCTTTGTCCATTACGTTCTCCTTTGCTTTCTCCTTTGTTAAAACTTGTTGCATCAAAATTGTTCGTCCTTTACCTGTATTTTCAAAAAAATCTTCCTTTCATCTCAGAAAAGTATTTTGACATGTGTGTACTGCTTTACCTTGACCTGTGCCTTTATAATGAACTCCTTCTTTACCTTGCTGTTGAAGACCTTCTTTAACTTTATCTATACAAAAAACCACATTTTATATATTTCATCTTTACGGCATTTAATATCTTTAGTCTCTTTGGTATCTTCTTTATCTTCAATAAACTTTTGCTCATTGATTCTCAGGACTGGTCTTGGTGATTTGTTCATCACGTTGTTGAGAATGGCTGCAAATTTTGGACTCGCGGGGTCCAGACATGGCACAGACAAGGAGAGAGAGAGAGAGAGAGTCTGATAAGGGACAAACATATCCTAAAGCCCAAGAAAAACTCACAACCCCAAGCCCTCGACTTTTGGGTTTAGGGTTTAAGGCTTGGGGTTTAGGGTTAGGGAAGAAAGACCTGAACTGAAGTGAAGTTCTCAAGTCTAAACCCGAGTCAAGTCCTCAGGTCCTGAACCTCCGACTCTTATATTGGGGTGGAGGGGGTGGAGAGGGGGGGGGGGGGGGGGGGGGGGGGGGGGGGGGGGGGAGGGTGGATTTCATCTAAACATGATGGGTCCTTGGTTTCCCATGACTCTCTGAGGTATGTGATGATACCAACCCGGAACAAAGGCACATCTTCTGAGCGCAAGTTGACCCCTCGTCGGGGCTCATCCTGAATAGGGTTTCGGGTTGAGGGTTTAGGGTTTAGGTTTAGGGTCTAATTAAGGTTTAGGGTCTAGGGTTTAGGGTTTTATAAGAGGGAAGGTGGATGTTTATATCTGGTGGAGAGGATTAGATGCTTGGATGTGCCAGCGTCGACTCTGCCCAGGGGCCAGAGTAAGAAGGGATCCGCAGAAGAGGATCGCCGTCAGAGGAGCAGCCTCCGGCTTGAAGCCATCCCCCTAAACGGTTTAGGGTTTAGGGTTTCTTGGGGTGTTCCCCCGTGTACGAACAGTCCTTAAGAAGGACGACTATAATAGGGGGGGGGCGGGGGTGCTATCATCCCTATTCAGACTGTTAGTATAAGGGGGAACATCCCAAGGAGTTTCCCTTAACAAAGGGACCTCGAAGTATCGGAAATGCGCAACTGAGCGGCCCTCTTGGGGGGATTTGTGTCCTCTGGATTGGGCGCATGACCCTTAACTTTTAACCCAAACGCTAAGCCCACGAAGCCAGGGTGTTAGGGTTTGGGTCTAGGGTGTCTGAATTTGCAGCAAATGCCTCAATGAGTGGAACTGCTATGTTTCCCCAGCTGTCGCCCGCAATGACGGTCTTGAACCTCAGTCACACAGTAACAGGGGCTTGCAGGCACGCATGTCGTGTCGATTCGGAATATATCCCTAAACCATAAACCCTAAACCAGGATTTGGATTCTTTCTGCGGAGATGCAAGACACACTAAGCCGACCTAGCCAAGCTGGTGTTCTGAGATCCATGGCATGGTCGGAGACATCGGCAGTTGCTTGTAGGTTGCCGCAAAACTCGAACTTAACTGCTCATTTCCAGGCATCGGGACTTGAGTATCCTATCTTTGTAGCCCCTTAGTTAAAAGGAAGCGAGACCCAGCAAGCTTAAGATTCAGCATTTCGGCCAAGTCATTGAATGTGTGTGTGTGTGCGTGTGTGCACGCGCACTTTGTTTTTGTATCAATCTATTGCCCAAGCATGCACATCAGGAAGGCCGATTCGTCAGTTTGCGTGCGTGCAGGATTTCCATTGCACCGGACGAGTAGTAAGCAACCCGAATGTATTAAAGTAGAGGTGCCTTCATGCATCAGGTTTCACAATGAGCGGGAAGGTTCTACTTGCCAGACTGGCAAGCTGGGATCCAAACGTCCCAAGGCTCCAGCCCAGGATTCAATTCTTGTAGCGGATCAATCATCACAATCTGTGGGCACTCCCACCGGTGCGAAAGGAAGCTCTTCACCCAAGTAAGGTTTCAACAACCACAGTGGCAACCACTGTGGATTTGTTCACCTAAACGATCTGGAGCCGTTGCCAGAGCTGCAACACCACCAGCCTGTTGTCTCGGCTGGCTGACATGACTGAACATGATCCATCTCCTGCTTGAGCGCCTTCTTGACTGACCCTGTTGTATTTTGGGTTTAGGGTTTAGGGTGGGGGGAAGGGTTACGGACATCACCCAACCAGAAGCACCTCCGGTTTAGGGTCAAGGGTTTTGCTGAAGGGCGCTCCAAAGGACCTGCAACCCAGTAAAGATCAGGATATAGGGTTTAGGGTTTAGGGTTTGGGGTTTGGGGTTTAGGGTTTAGGGTTAGTTATCAACCCTTAGAGAATAAGCCCTCGACGTCACATGAAACACCATAGGAAGGCCTTTGTGGACAACCCTTAAAACCCTAATACACGACACCACTACACCCAATCAAGCCCCAGAAAGCCGAAGAAACAACCCCTTCAACACCCCAAACAACAACCTGAAACACCCAAATGCGGATCAACGGACCAAACCCTATAAAGCCCTAAAACCTAAACCCTAAACCCTAAGCCCTAAACCCCAAACCCTTAAACCTCCTACACCCTAATCCCTCTAACCCTCAATTCCTGAAACCCCTGAACCCTTAAGCCCCTAAGCCCTTCCTCATAGCAGCTCCCGCCAGTCCTATGAACCCTAAACCCTAAACCCTAAACCCTAAACCCTAAGCCCTAAGCCCTAAGCCCTAAACCCTAAACCCTAAACCCTGAGCCGTCAAACCCAGGAGCAGCAGGAGGTTGGCTTCCATGATGGAACCCGTCGCTTTCATGCACGGGATGCAGGCCTCAGTGTCGGTGCCTTGGCAGAGGGTTTAGGGTTTAGGGTTTAGGGTTTAGGGTTTAGGGTTTAGGGTTTAGGGTTTAGGGTTTAGGGTTTACAGCACTTGGAGGTTCATGTGTACTTATGTGATGGTTTCAAGTACTTAAGGTCACCATGGTTAGAACCTTCTTTGGGAGACTTGGAACCACGCATGAACCTTCAAGTAGGGCACACACACACACACGCACACAAACACGCACACTAAAAAACAAACAAGACATTCCATTCATCTAGAGATCGAGCTTTGGAGGCCCTTTGGTTGGGAAGAAAGAAGCCTCAACCCTAAACCCTAAACCCTAAACCCTCAACCCTCAACCCTCAACCCTAAACCCTAAACCCTAAACCTAACATCCCCATGCAGATCCATGTACAGCAAAGGGGATTCACGAGCTCCACGAGAAGCATCCTCAGCTGCGCGCAAGTTTAGGGTTTAGGGTTTAGGGTTTAGGGTTTAGGGTTTAGAGTTTATGGTCGAGTGCTTTAGCGTCTTGGGTTGGGGTTTAGGGTAGTTTAGCGTTTAGGGTGTAGGGTTGAGGGCTCTTGACTAGGAACCCTAAACCCTAAACCCTAAACCCGAGTCCTTCACCTTTTAGTGGGGGTAGCAAAGGATCCTGTGAGGATCGGGCAAAAGGGACTGCGGCATTGACCTGGCAAAGGGCCTCGTCTTGGAGATTCATGGGTACTTATCTGCTACTTGCCTGAGAACACACAAAAATGAAAAAGAAAAATCCCTAATTGCATTAATTACCCTTTTACTGTAAGGAAGAATGTCTTTTTTGTTGTTTGGGGGGGGGAATGTTCGCGATGGTTGTCACTGTCTTTAGGGCGCGTGTAACCCTACTAAGAAGTGACCATGAACCTTCAAGCATTGCTCTCCTACGACTACATGATCGGATCTTGGCCTGAGACTACATGATTGGATCTTGGCCCGAAGGTCTAAACTCTTCAGGGTTCAGGGCTAAGCTCGTTTAGGGCCTAAGCCCGCACCAATGCTGCAGAACCCTGGCAAAGTGTATCTTTCACTGTTTGTTGGGCGCTTGGAGAATACCCAAAACCCTGCTAGAGCCGCTAGATACACACTTCAAAAGCTGAGCCAGATCCTACTTCTGAGGGTGGCGACAAGAACGCAAGAAGCCCAGACCAGGTGGTCAAGGAGGGCTGGACACTTCCGCTGCGCGCACCAAGGGCCCCAAGTCGGACATGCCTACAGATAAGGAGAGCTCATCAAGCACCAGCTCGTTGGCCGGTTGCGAGCTAACCCACCAGTAGGTGCGCAAACCTTGAACCCTCCACCCCGGCCCTATAGACCCTAAACCCAAACCTCACCGGATGTGACAAGGGACGCCCACATGGTCATCATGCCGAAGCAGAAGAGCATCGACCACGCAAGCGTTTTCCTTAGGGCTTAGGGTTGAGGGTTTCGGGTTTAGGGTTTTGGGTTTAGGGCCGCGGGCTTTCCTGGTTGAAGGGAGGGGAAAGGTTTCGGCGACTGGACAAAAAACTAGGGTATAGGGTTTTGGCAAGAAGGCACACACGTGGCAACTTTACGGGACATCACGGGACCAAAGCCCTATCAACCTAAACCCTGAAAGAAATAAAGCCCTAAAAGCCCTCCAGGCCCTCAAGCCCCTGAAGCTCCCAAAAAGCCCTGAAGCCCCTTAAATCCCCCGGCGCGCCTAGGCCCCTGAACCAAAATAAACCTCAATCCCTAAACCCTAAACCCTAAACCCTAAAACCATCAGAGGGGCGTGCAGGTGCTGAGCATCGTCAGCCTTAGGAACTTCAAGCTGCCGCACGCGTTTGGGGTGTGTTGGTAAATACCTTAGCAGCCCAGTAAACATATTTTAGTAAGGGCACCCTTTTTTGGGGTTGGTTACTTTATCAGGGAACCTTGAACCAAAACAAGGGTAAAGGGTACCACTGGGCTACCAAGATACAGGGTTATAGGGAGTCAGGGAAAGGGGGGTGACAGGGGGTTATGGGGCTTATAGGGGGTTGTATCGGGGGTTATAGGGGTTATGGGGGGTTACATGGGTGTAGGGCTTAGGGCATCTTTTTCTGTGTCCCCTCCGAACAGTGCAGAACGGAGCCCGACGTGTGTCTCGGGGTGGTGTTGGCGACGGGGGTGGGGGTTTGGGGGGTTTGGGGTGGCGAGGGGGGGAGGGGGGCAAGTTGCATGACAAAACTGTTTTTGGGTTTAGGGTGTCGGGTTTACGGTTCCCCCTGGCCTTGCCTCGACCGACTAAACCATCGTCTTACAAGGCCGGCTTCGGTGTTTGACTCTTTGGTCTCAACTGCCAAGCCTAAACCCTAAACGCTAACACCCTTTTGAGGTTTCGGCTGGCTCTATGGCCCTAAACCCTAAACCCTAAACCCTAGACCTTGAACCTAAACCCTAAACAAAAGGAGCCCATCAGTGCATGGGAAGCGTGAGCCACTCCTAACCCGAAAGTCTCGTTGCCCTGGCGTCACTTGGTAGATGTTCCCAAATAGCGGTGTTCTCAACAACCCCCCACAGCCCAAAAAGCATCAACACCCTGCCCCATACTTCTAGGGACCTGACAATTCGGTTACTAGAGCCCCTTAAGGGCCACATAATTAGGTCCCTGGACGGATGCCCTAAACCCTAAACCCTAAACCCTAAACCCTAAACCCTAAACCCTAAACCGTAAACCCTAAACTCCTCATCTGCGATCTCGGGGGCATCTTCCTCAGCTCCCGCAGGGAGCGCGCCTTGCGCACGAAGTTGGCCAGCCGCATGATCCGCACCACGCGCAGCACCCGGAAGTCCCGGAAGAAGTACACATCCTCATTCGGGTTTAGGGTTTAGGGTTTAGGGTTTAGGGTTTAGGGTTTAGGGTTTAGGGTTTAGGGTTTAGGGTTTAGGGTTAAGGGGTTGGGATGTTCCCCCCTCATACTAACAGCCCCTGAATAGGGATTATAGTATAATCCCATCAGGCACTGTTAGTATAAGGGGGAACATCCCAACTCATGGCTTTAAGGCCACCGTAGGGTTTAGCGGCTTTCTACAAAATTCGAGCCTTTCTGATGAGGAAGGACCTTTACATGTTGCAGCATCCTCAAACAAAACCACTAAACCCTAAACCCTAAACCCTATCAAGGACTGTTCGTATAAGGGGGAACCATCCCAAAGTTCAGGAGTCTAGATTTCGGGTTGTCGGGCTTTGTCAGTTCAGGGGTTTGGGTTTAAGGGTTTAAGGACTGCTTGTCTTAGGGGGAACATCCCAACCTGATCTCCTGAACCCCACCCCCCCCCCCCCCCCAACTTGAATCCCCTCAGGCCCGGGAACCGTTGGCTGGCTCAAGAAGTGGATGACGATCTCCAGCCAGCCGCAGACGATCACAAACCTGGGCCGAAAGGGGTGCAGGGGGGTTTAGGGCTTAGAGCTGACTAGGGGAGGAGACACACTACACTCCCCCTAAAACCGGGGGGTTTAGGGCTTAGAGATGACTAGGGGAGGAGACACACTACACTCACCCCATAAAGCCACATAAACAAATAGGACGATCAACTCATCCTTGGGACCTGTGTTTAGACAAATGCTATCCCCAACCAGGACCCCCTCTAAACCCCAAAAAGGCCGTGATGCGGCCAGTTCAGGAATCTTCGAAGCCCCCAGGGTTTCGGGTTTAGGGTTTAGGGTTTAGGGTTTAGTGTTTAGGGTTCAGGGTTTTGGGCCCGAGTAGGGGTTGAGGTCTTCATGGGTTGCCATGGAGCAGGTCCAGCCAGGTCATCCAGTCCTTCAAGAACGGGAGCTTCACGAGATATAGGTTCCTGAGCTCACGCGAAGCCATCTGGATCATGAGACCCCTACTTGGGGAGCAGACCCTGGAAAAAAGGTATATACCTTTTTGGTATGAGTAGCTATCTAGGTTGCCCAATAACCTAGGATAAAAAAAGGGTGCGCTTTTTGGCTTAAGGGGATTTATAAGGGAACCTACACCCCGAAAAAATTGGAAAAAGGGTGGTACTGGGCATCCGAGCTGTAATACGAGCCCAGAACCAAAAACAAAAGTAGTAAAGTAGAGAACTCCAAAATTCCAGAGAAAGCCACTTTAAGCAAAGAACTAAGCTGGGAGGTTCATGGGGTACTTCATAACCCCAAGTATAACTGTACTCATAAGCCCCCTATAAGTCCTCTAAGAACCCTAAACCCTAAACCCTAAACCCTAGTAGGTTATAAGTAGACTTCTAGTTGGGGTTATAAGTACCCTAATGAACCTCCAAGAGGAGACGTCCACGGTTGCATGTCGATGGTGTACACCAGGATGGGCTACTCAGCCCTATCATCCCCATACTCAACCCTGTAAGAGGCCGTTTTAAGGGATATGGGGTCTCTATAATCCCCATACTGAAGCCTGTAAGGGGCCTTTATATACATATATATATATATAAGGTACAATAGCCCATGCTGGCATGCATGCGGGAGCGGCACGCATCATTGGCATAACGTATGATGCCGGCAGTCACCACATGTTAAACCCTAGACCCTAGACCCTAGACCCTAGACCCTAGACCCTAGACCCTAGACCCTAGACCCTAGACTCAAACCCTAAACCCTAAACCCTAAACCCAAAACCCAAAACCCTAAACCCTAGACCCAAAGGCAAAGAAAAAGCCACCCCAAAGCCCAAGTTGCCGCTGTGCTCGCCCGAGGCGCAGAGCAAACTCCATGCTGTACACCAGCACGCAGGAATCCATGACCTTCCATTGTAGATACCACTACAATAAGGGGGTAGATACCCTATAATAAGGGGGTAGATACCCTATAATACAGGGGGGTAGAGACCCTATAACCCTTAAAAAGGCGCTTTTGCAAGGCTGAGTTATGGGGATGATACCTTTTTTTTTCCGTATATCCCTTATTTAAGGGGTATTGGGCTCTCTGGGTGTTTTCAGGGCTCCAGTCCATGCCCGCTGCCCTCTCGTAATGGAGTGTTTTAAGGGCTCCAGTGCATGCCCGAGCCTCCTCCGCTGCCCTTGCTGCCCCCGCCCTTCCCGCTCCCCCCGCCCTCCCCGCTGCCCCCTAGTTGCCCAAAGAGCCCAATACCCCTTAATTAAGCAATATTCCTTAAACCATAATCAGGATCCCTTTATAATTTACGGTATATCCCTTGATTAAGGGGTATTGGGCTCTCTGGGTGTTTTCAGGGCTCCAGTCCATGCCCGCTGCCCTCTAGTAATGGAGTGTTTTAAGGGCTCCAGTGCATGCCCGAGCCTCCTCCTCGCTGCCCTTGCTGCCCCCGCCCTTCCCGCTCCCCCCGCCCTCCCCGCTGCCCCCTAGTTCTGGAGTGTTTTCAGGGTCCATGCCCGCTGCCCTCTAGTAATGGAGTGTTTTAAGGGCTCCAGTGCATGCCCGAGCCTCCTCCTCGCTGCCCTTGCTGCCCCCGCCCTTCCCGCTCCCCCCGCCCTCCCCGCTGCCCCCTAGTTCTGGAGTGCCCAAAGAGCCCAATACCCCTTAATTAAGCAATATTCCTTAAACCATGATAAGGATCCCTTTATAATTTACGGTATATCCCTTAATTAAGGGGTATTGGGCTCTCTGGGTGTTTTCAGGGCTCCATGCCCGCTGCCGTCTAGTAATGGAGTGTTTTAAGGGCTCCAGTGCATGCCCGAGCCTGGAGTGCCCAAAGAGCCCAATACCCCTTAATTAAGCAATATTCCTTAAACCATAATAAGGATCCCTTTATAATTTACGGTATATCCCTTAATTAAGGGGTATTGGGCTCTCTGGGTGTTTTCAGGGCTCCAGTCCATGCCCGCTGCCCTCTAGTAATGGAGTGTTTTAAGGGCTCCAGTGCATGCCCGAGCCTCCTCGTCGCTGCCCTTGCTGCCCCCGCCCTCCCCACCCTTCCTGCCCTTCCCGCTTGGAGCTTGGGGCTTGGGGCTTCGAAGCCTGAAGGTCTGCAGCCCTCTAACCTTAACCCTTCCAGCCTCCTTGCACCCACTGAACCCACAGGGCAAGAAACCCCAAACAAATCCCAAAAAACTAAAAAAAACCGACAGGCTCACCCAGCATAGCAAGCCCCAACTTCAATTTGGGGTCGGCGGCACTGGCGGTAGCCATTAAATCGGGCAGCGCGAGGTCCCCAAGGACCGAGCATTGGCGGACCTTTTAACCCGGGTCGTCCCGGGAATAGCCTTGCTAGCCTGCGGCCTTCTGCGAAGCAGAATTGGGCCGGACGCCAGTGCCGCCGACCCCCGCGTGCCGCCGGTGAACGGTTTTTTTTCGTGGTTTTTTGCGTCGCCACGGAGGCCCCCAGAGGGCGCGCATCATGAGCATCAGCGGGTCCAGCCGGGACCCCCAGGCGCGCATCAGGAGCATCAGGCGCCTCCCGGGGCGGGACCCCGGGGGCGCATCAGGAGCATGACGCCCCCCAAAGGGCGGGCATAAGCGACGTGTCTAAGCCCGGGGCTAGGAAAAAGGGAGTTTAGGGGCCTTATAAAGTGCTTAGAAACTTTAAGGGAGTCTAGGAGCCTCAAACGCTTAGAGATTTGAAGGGGGCCTGAAAATGCTTAGAAACTTTAAGGGAGTTCAGGAGCCTCAAACGCTTAGAGATTTTAAGGGAGTTTAGGGGCCTCAAAATGCTTAGAAACTTCAAGGGAGTTTAGGAGCCTCAAACGCTTATAGAGAAACCCCAACCCTGTGACGGATCTGCTCGCCCGGCGCTTCTGCCTGCGCTGCCCGCCCATGGGCGCAGCCCCTTAAAATAATGAGGTTGAGTATGGGTAGACGCCCCATAACCCTTAAAAAGGCCCTTTTGTAAGCTTGAGTATGGGGAGTATGACCTTTCAACCAGCATTGGGCGATCATGCCCTGTGGCCATTTATAGGGTTCCATTATGGCCTATGACCCTTAAATTATACCCCATGACCTTTCAACCAGCATGGGCTGTTATCCCCTGTAAAAGCCCCTTACAGGGTTGAGTATGAGCATTATAGATACCCTATAACCCTCAAAACGGCCCGTTCGTAAGGTTGAGTATGGGGAGTATAGTATACCCTGTAACCCTGAAAAAGGCGCTTTTGTAAGGTTGAGCATGGGGATTATCGTATACCCTACAACCCTTAAACAGGCACTTTGTAGGGTTGAGAAGAATAATTCTAGGGCCGAATGGCCCATCCTGGTTGTCAAGTGGAATGGCCAAGGCGCGAGGGCAGCTGCGCTGTTTAAACCCCTAAGTCTTTCTCAGCACCTTGGGTTTTAGGGTCTCGTAGTTGCTGAGTTCATAAGCACCCCGCCCCCTCAAAAAAAAAAAAGAGAGAGTACACTTTCAATTCTATTCGGGGATTGTCGTATCCCAAAAATTGTGTTCAAGGGTACTCATTCAGCTACTAAGGTCTATAGGGGTTGTGGCGAAAAGCACAGGATAAACCCTAAACCCTAAACAGAGGGCCTACGGTGAGGCCCAGCCTTAGTACCAATCTTGGGGTAAACACGTGTTCGCTAATAAGGGCACCCTTTTTGGTTGGTTACCCTAAACCCTAAACCCTAAACCCTAATTGAATATTTGGCTGGCATAAAGGGTTAGGCCTTAGGGTTTATGACTCCAAGCTTGGCAGCACGGGGAATCTGATAAGAGCACCCCTTTTTTTGGCTGGTTCCCCAAAACCCTAAAGCCTAAACCCTGGAACCAACAAAAATTAAAAGGGTAAAGGGTACCCACGGGGATACCAGGCAAGTCACCCCCGAAGCTTGGCATATCTTACTGGCTCTTTGTAGGTTTAGGGTTTAGGGTCTAGAGTGAGGGATACCTTCTATTCCCTGATTGAAGGGTTCAGGGTTTAGGGGGGGCAGGCATTGGTTCGGGAAACAGAAAGCCCGAAACCCCTGAACCCTCAAGCCAAAGCCACGCAGCCCTTGAGCTTGGAAGGCACGGTTTTCATCCTTTTGAACCAGCCCATCTTGCCGGGCTTTCCCTTTCTTGCTGATGACGTCTAGGGCCTTTTTACACTCCTGACAGTTGGTCTGGTTCAAGGCAAATTTGCAGGCTTCGAGCCATCTTTGGCAAGCCCGACACTGCTGCTGCCCTTTGTGCGTTCTGTTGCCGTGGCGGCCGGCACGGGATGTCTTGGCTGGAGATTTCTTTGGCTTGGCTTTGCCACCAGGTTTAACACCGGGTTTGCCAGCCTTCCTACCAGCCACTCTTCCTCCTCGTGCTTGCGCTTGCCGCCCTTCTTCGGTGGGGTCTTTGGGTCTGCGGACCCCTCATCTTCGTCAGAGAAAGCAACCCGAAGAACGCTTGGCCAGCAGATAACCCCACACCCTCAGCTTGGGATGGACTGTTAGTATACGGGGGAACATCCCAACACTCAACCCCAACCCTAGGGGCCCCCAAAAACCCTACAAACCCCCATAAGCCTCAACCCTAAACCCCAAACCCCAAACCCTAAACCCTAAACCCTAAACCCTAAACCCTAGCCCCCACAACAACGACAATGAAACCCAGCTGCAGTCGACAGCAGCGGCGAGAGTTCTCTGCCTGCGGCCCTCTCCTTGGCTTTCTCCCAGATAGGGTTTAGGGTTTAGGGTTTAGGGTTTAGGGTTTAGGGTTTAGGGGTTTAGGGTTTAGGGGTTGAGGGTTTAGGGGTTGAGGATGTAGGGTTTCGGGGTTTAGGGTTTAGGGGTGGAGGGTTTAGAGTCCGGTGTTCTCGAGAAGCATAGGGTTGAGGGTTTTAGGGCTGAAGGCTTCTTTCTTTAGGGTTTAGAGTGCGTTTGAGGTTTCTGGTTTAGGGTTTCGGGTTCAGGCTTCGGCGCCCTTAGAAGAAAACAACCTATAACTCAACCCAAAAGCCCTGAACCTTCTATCCTTGGCAGAACCCTACAACCCTAAACCGCCCTGAGTTCAAAGCCCTATACCCTACACCCCAGGGTTTCGCAATAACAGCTTCTGTGGGGGGGGGGGGGGCCCTAGCTGCCCAAAAATCGGACTCCGTAGAGACTTGCCCCCGGCATACGAACAGTCCTGAGTCGGGATTATAGTACCCCCTACTATAAACCCTAAACCCTAAGCCTAAACCCTAAACCCTCAAACCCTAAACCCTAAGGCTAAACCCTAAACCCTTACACCCATAATCCCTATTGAGGACTGTTAGTTTAAGGGGGCCAACTCAGAGAGGCCTGGGGCGCAGGGGTGCAGGGGGGGGGGGGGGTTAAGACTCGTGACGGCACATCCCTTTTCATCTCTGCGAGGAGAAGCATTTGTAGAAAGAGACTTCTTGCACAGGATAGCTTTTACAAGTCTTTGCATGCTCGGAGACTTACAAATCTTTGACAGCACCATACTGCTGAGGACTGAGCTCCCAAGAGCTACCTTATACGGCCAAGAGGCCGCGAGACCTTTTTGGGGCTATAGGGTTTCATGCTCCACTATATCGTGACTAGAGTCCTCGGCAAAGTGGGTCTCACAAGCATGCATTGCTATTCTCCCCTAGATGGAGCGGCCTGAGTGCATGCAGTTCAAGCCAAACCCTACGCAAGCCTCCTTACCCATACTAGCATTAGAGCCATAGAGCCATAGTTGCACCTCACGCGCTTACAAGGGTTTAGGGAAGTTTGGGGTTTAGGGATAGATCCCCTAGGCCTTGGTAGAAGTCATCATCAGTCAAGACTGAGAAAAGGAGACTATGGTCGGCAGGTCTCATCGATGTCTATGCAGGTCACAGCAAGGTCGAACATGATCACGAGCGCCACGGTGTTC